CTTGGAGAGCCGTAATGGATCAGGAGCTGATGAGATCCCCAACACAGCACAGCTGCTCTAGTTAAAAGCACTCAGACTGCTTCTTCAAGCAGGTTCCTGATCCCATTCCTCCTGACTACATGAGACTTTCCCAACCACGGTCTCTAGCCACATCGTATAGGCACATTCAAGCCAGAAACCTACCTGGAACAAAGCTTTCAGAAGAAGAAGCAGGATGCCACCTTTGCTGTTTTGCACCTTCGAGAGTGTACCTCCAAGTATGGGAAAAACCCAGGTGACTATGGTCTGGAGCAGATACCCAGCAAACTGCAATAGCCCAAGGAAGACTGGCCAGAATGTAAAAAAAAAAAAAAAACCAGCAGCAACAACAACAGAAAACCCATCCGAAGGTCAGCTACTTCAAAGCTTGAAGGTAGATAAGTCCACAAAGATGAGAAAGAAATAGTAGAAAGAATCTAAAACTCCAAAAACCAGAGTGCCCATTTTCCTCCAAATGACTGCATCACCTCTTCACCAAGGGTTCAGAAATGGGCTGAGTCTGAGATTGCTAAAATGACAAAAGGAGGCTTCAGGATATGGATAAAACAAACTTCACCGACCTAAAAGAGTATGTCATAGCCTAATGGAAAGAAGCTAAGAATCATGATAAAACAATGCAGATATAGACTCCCATACAATAATATGTGAGATTTTAACACCCCACTGACAATATTAGCCAGATCATCAAGACAAAAAAATTAACAAACATATTCAGGAGCTGAACTCAGCTCTGCATCAAGTGGACCTGATAGATACTTACAAAACTCTCCACCCAAAAAACAATAGAATATAGAGTCTTCTCATCACCACAAAGCAGTTACTCTAAAATTGAATGCATAGCTGGAAGTAAAACACTTCTCTTCAATTGCAAAAGATCTGAAATCATAGCACAATCAAATTGGAACTCAAGATTAAGAAATTCACTCAAAATCATAAAACTATGTGGAAATTGAACAATGTGTACCAGAATGACTTTCTAGTAAATAATTAAATTAAAGTAGGAATCAAGAAGTTCTTTGAAACTAATGAGAACAAAGACACAATGTACCAGAATCTCTGGGATGCAGCTAAAGCAGTGTTAAGAGAGAAAACTGTAGCACTAAATACCCACATCAAAACGTTAGAAAGATCTCAACTTAAAAAAAAATCACAACTAAAAGAACTAGAGAACCAAGAGCAAACAAATACCAAAGCTAGCAGAAGATAATAAATAACCATGATCAGAGCTCAACTGAAGGAGATAGACACAAAATCCCTTAAAAAAAATCAATGAATTCAGGAGCTAGTTTTCGAAAAAAATTAATGAAACAGATAAATTGCTAGCCAGACTAATGAAGAAGAAAAAAAGAAGATTAAAATAAACACAGTCAGAAATAAGAGGGATGTAACCACTGACCCCACAGAAATGCAAATAACCATCAGAGGATACTATAAACACCTCTATGCACATACTAGAAAATCCAGAAGAAATGGATAAATTCCTGGACACATGCATTCTGCCAAGACTAACTGAGGAAGATATCAAATCCTAGAATAGACCAGTAAGGAGTTCTAAAATTGAGGCAGTAATAAATAGCCTACAAGCCAAAAAAAAAAAAAGTCCAGGACCAGAGGATTTACAGCTGAATTCTACCAGAGGCCCAAAAAAGAGCTGGTACCATTCCTACTGAAACAATCCCAAAATATTAGACCAGCATCATTCTGATACCAAAACCTGGCACAGAAAAACAAAAAAAAAGAAAACTTAAGGCCAAACTAGGTATTGAAAGAACATACCTCAAACTAATAAGAGCCACATGTGATAAATTTGCAGCCAATGTCATACTAAATGGACAAAGGCTGGAAGGATTTCCCTTTCAAAGGGGCACGAGAAGACAAGGTTGCCCTTTCTCACCACTCCTATTCAACACAGTTCTGGAATTCCTAACCGGAGTAATCAACAAGAGAAAGAAATAAAGGGCATCCGAATTGCTAAAGAGGAAGTCAAACTGTCACTGTTGACCAATAATATAATCGTATACCTAAAAAATCTTAAAGATTCATATGAAATGCTTCTAGATCTGTTAAACCAATTCAGTAAAGTTTAAGGATACAAAATCAATGCATACAAATCAGTAGCACTGCTATACACCAACCGTGACAAAGCTGAGAATTAAATCAAGAACTCAACCTCTTTTATAATAGCTGCAAGAAAATAAAATACTTAGGAATATTTCCAAGGAGGTGAAAGACCTCTACAAGGAAAAGTACAAAACACACTAATGAAAGAAATCATAGATGACAAAAACATATTTAAAAATTTCCCATGCTCATGCATGGGTAGAATCAATATTTTTTTAAACGACCATACTGCCAAGAGTGATCTACAAATCCACTGCAATTTCTATCAATATTCCATCATCATTTTTCACAGAACTAGGAAAAACAATTCTAAAATTCCTATGGACCTATAAAAGAGCCTGTATAGCCAAAGTAAGACTAATCACAAAGAAATCTGGAGGCATCACATTACCTAACTTCGAATTATTCTACAGGCTATAGTTACTGGCATAAAAAATAGGCATACAGACCGATGAAACAAAATAGATAACCCAGAAATAAAGCCGAATACTTACAGTCAACCGATCTTCAACAAAGCAAACAAAAACATAAGTGAGAAAAAGAAGACCCTATTCAACAAGGTGGTGCCGGGATAATTGGCAAATCACATGTAAAAGGAGGAAAGTGGATCCTCAGCTCTCACCTTATACAAAAAACCAACTTAAGATGGATATCAAAGACTTAAATTTGAGTCCTGAAACCATGAAAATTCTAGAACATAACATCCGAAGAACTCTTCTAAACATTAGCTTAAGCAAAGAGTTTCATGACCAAGAATTCAAAAGCAAATGCAAGAAAAACAAAGATAAATAGATGGAACTTAATTAAACTAAAAAACCTTCTGCACAGCAAAAAATGATAATAACAAAGTAAACAGAAAACCCATAGAGTGGGAGAAAATATTCACAGGCTATGCATCTTATAAAGGACTAATATTCAGAATCTACAAGGAACTCAAACAAACCAGCAAGAAAAAAAAAAATCCCATCAAAAAGTGGGCTAAAGCTATGAATAGACAATTATCAAACGAAGATATACAAATTGTCAACAACATATGAAAAACTGTTTGACACCACCAATGACCAGAGAAATGAAAATCAAAACTGCAATGCAATGGAACTTTATTCCTGCAAAGAATGGCCAAAATTTAAAAATCAAAAAATAATAGATGTTATCATGAACGTGAGGAAGAGGGGACACTTTTACACTGCTGGTGGAAATGGAAACCAGCTCAGCCGCAATGGAAACAGAGTGTGGAGATTCCTTAAAGATCAAAAAAGAGATCTACCGTTTGATCCACCAATCCCCTACTGGGTATCTGCCAGAGGAAAGTAAGTCATTATATGAAAAAGACACTCCATGTGCATGTTTATAGCAACACAGTTCACAATTGCAAGAATATGGAACCAGCCCAAAGGCCCATCAATGGAATGGATAAAGAAAATATTATATATATATTTGTGTGTGTGTGTGTGTGTAGATATATATATTTTTGCAATTGTGAACCGTGTGTGTGTGTATATATATAGATATAGATAAATTATATAAATATATATTCATTTATATATATTTTTGTATATATATTTTTTGTATATATATATTTTTGCAATTGTGAACTCTATGTGTATCTGTATATACATAGATATATATAAATATATATATAAAAATATACAAATGTATGTATATGTATGGATATAGATAAATATATATAGATATATATATAAACACACACATATATAGATAAATGTGTGTATGTATATATATACACACATATATATAGATATGTATATATACATATACACACACAAATATTTACATATACACATATATATAAATATATGTGTGAATATATATGGGTACATATATTTATATATACACATATTTATATATACACATATATATGTGTATATATATATATTTATATATACACATATTTATATATACACATATTTATATATACACATATATATGTGTATATATAAATGGTACATATACATACATTCCATTTCCCTGGTTATATATATATATATATATATATACACACACACACACATACATGCACAAATATATGTACACATATATATATACACACATTTATATATATATATATGTATATATAAATATATGTGTATACATATATATATGCACACACATTTCATTTTCCTGGTCATATATATATATGTATATACACACACATGCACAAATATATGTACACATATACATATACACACACACACATGCACAAATATATGTACACATATACTTATACACACATTTATGTATATGTATATATAAATATATGTGTATACATATATATATGCACACACACACATTTTGTTTTCCTGGTCATATATATATGTATATACACACACATGCACAAACATATGTACACATATATATACACACACACACACACACATACATATATACCTATATATATATATACACTATGCACACACACCATAGGATACCACTCAGCCAAAAACAGTAATGAAATAATGGCATTCACAGCAACCTGGATGGAGTTGGAGACCATTATTCTAAGTGAAGTAACTCAGAAATGGAAAACTAAATATCCTATGTTCTCACTTACAAGTGGGAGCTAAGCTATGAAGAAGAAAAACATAAAAATGTCACAATGGACCTTGTGGACTCCAGGAGAAAGATGGAAGGGGGTGAGGGATAAAAGACTACACATTGGGTACAGTCTACACTGCTCAGGTGATGGATACACCAAAATTTCGGAAATGACCATTAACTAACTTATCTATGTAACCAAACATCACCTGCTCCCCAAAATCTATATCATAATAAAACAAAACAAAACAAAGGGAAAGAAAACGGGTACATATACATCATGCACTGCAATTCAGCCATTAACAATGAAATTATGTCTATTTCAGGAACTTGGATGGAGCTGGAGGCCATTATTCTTTTTAAAGTAACCCAGGAATCTACAAGCAAATAGTGCAGGATCTCACCTAGAAGTGAGAGCTAAGCTGTGGGTCCACAAAGGCACGCAGTGTAACATACTAAACATTAGAGACTCAGAAGTGGGGAGGGTGAGAGAGGGTGACAGAGGAGAAACTGTCTGCCGAGTAAACTGTAAACAAATTGGGTGATGAGTGCACTCAAATCCCAGACTACTATGAACACTACACGGTTCATCTATGGAACCAAAATAACCTGTACTCCTAAAGCTATTGAAACAGTTTTTAAAAATTCAACAACAAAATAAATAATAATAAGCTCTAATTTTAAAATGCTAATGTGAACTTATTTTCTAAGTACTGATATCATGGAATCTATTGTTCTGTGTGCCATACCTGCATTGAATTGGGCATTAATTTCAACTACACCTCTCACAAAAGTCTGTTAACAGTATATTTGAATAGAATTCACAACTATACATTTTATCTATGGAACCTAAAACCATAGTTACCCTTAAAAATATTAAAATAACAAAATATTTTCAATGCTTTCCTAGCTCATCTGTGACCTCCGGTCAGCAGCTAAGTGAGGTCAAAACTAGCTTCTCAGGAGCTCATGGCATTCCCATCATGGCCAGTGGCAGGATAGCTCAGCTCAGGAATCCAATCCACCTTCAAAAAGGAAAGGGAGCTTCAGGGGGCTGAGAGGGAACATCTGTGACAGTCACATGTGATTCTTTTCTCAGGAAAGCTTTGGCTTATCCAGAGCCAAATCTGCTGTAGGCTACCAGAAGATTTTCATGAGTGTCACTTTTGGGGAGAAAATACCACAGGAGAATCCCTGACAGAGAAGTAGCCATTTCAAATTTCCATATACCCTTCCCCCCCCACCCCCCACCCCCATCATTACACTTCATTCTCAAAGAAATGATACAACCTCATGTTCTCATACCTTGGTGTCTTGGAGCAGACATGCAATTTGGCTAACTGCCGATTTTATTAAAATTGGTTTTTCACTGTCAGTATTTTCATGATGATTGACAAATGTAAACTTTCAGATTCTCTTTTGCACCCAGAACTTTAGGTGACCCACGCACCTACCATCCCCCCTACAAGGCACGCTCCAGACTAGATTGAGTTTTCACAGCCCTGATGAGGTAGAGGGTCTGGTGAAGCTTAGCTGGGTGGGTGGGTCTAATTTGCAATCATCTAAGCCAATTATAGGAGGCTGGACTTGGGAGGGTCGAATGCAATCATCTGAGCCCCTTCTGAGAGGCTGGACTTGTTCCTCCTTTCCTTGGGAGGGAAGTCCCCGGGGACTTGATGGAGTTTTCACAGCCCTGATGAGGTTGAGAATCTGATAAAGCAATGAGTGCAACGAAACGTAGCTGGGAGGGTCTAACGCAATCATCTGAGGCCCTTATAAGAAGCTGGACTTAGCTGAGCCCTCAGAGATCTCCAGCCAGTGCGAGACTGCCTAGTAGGGAGACTCACCACCGCTGGTGTGCAGACCTAGGAAGCCCAGGACCCCCGGGAGACTGAGCAGTAGGGCCTCTGACCTGCAGACCAACGAGCTGGTAAGTCGGGCTGGGTTTCGGGGGCTAAGTGTGCGGGAGCGCCTTGCCCATGGATCTCAACTCACGAGCTTTCTGAATTTCGTCCACAGCCCCACCATCACAGCTGTCTGAAACCACCGCTGCCTGCTGTTGACCCGGCTCAGCCCAAGGACCGGAGAAAGGCCGAGGCCCCACACCATGGCGCGCACCAAGCAGACCGCCCGCAAAGCCACCACTGTGCAGGCCCCCAGGAAGCCCGTGGCCACCAAAGCCCCAGGCAAGAAGTGGCCGCCTACAGGAGGGATCAAGAAGCCTCACCGCTACCGGCCTGGCACCCTGGCGCTGCGCGAAATCAGAAAGTACCAGAAGTCCACGGAGCTGCTCCTGCACAAGCTGCCCTTCCAGCGCCTGGTGCGCGACATCGCCCAGCTCATCAGCCTGGACCTGCGCTTCCAGAGCGCGGCCATTGGCGCCCTGCAGGAGGCCAGCGAGGCCTACCTGGTCCGCCTCTTTGAAGACACCAACCTGTGTGCCATCCATGCCAGGCGTGTCACCATTATGCCCAGAGACATGCAGCTGGCCCTTCGCCTCCACAGAGAAGGTCGTTAGGAGCCCAAATGTAGTTAAGCGTAGGACTGGGTGTGGAAACAGGCAGATATCGGGTCTTGGTGGTGGTTCTGGGTGCTTTTGTTTGTGAATGTCTAATCTACCTTGAGGGTCATAAGCCAGCAGTGTCAAATTCAATTGTTTCAGCGAGCGCGTTTCAGCACTTCCACTCTACATCCGTGTTCAATAAATCTGTTCATTTTCACTGGACTATGCCTGTGTGTAGAATACTTCAAACCAAATAAATCTCCTCTTGAAGGCAACTCAACGACGTTTGTTTAACTTGATCAAACAGATGACATCCACCCTTTCTCTTTCCCTGTAGGCGGCTCCGTGTTTGCAATGTTCCCCGTGTCCTGGGCTCTTCCTGCTAGTTTACTAGGAACATACATTCAACACCACTTTCTAAAGTGTCAATAGACTCTCTATCCACAAGTCACTTCACATCAGGGGAGGCAGAAAAACCAGTGTGGGTGTGTTTGTGGGGTGGAAAGGGAGAGAGGCGCCCTTTAGAAGTCTGCTGCCATCCATCTCTGGCAGTTCAGTGTCCTCGAATGTGGTCCATGACTGGAATGACCCAGGTCTTGGTCTGGGAAGTAGCAAGAGAATCATTGAGGGCCGGTGCGGTGGCTCACGCCTGTAATCTCAGCACTTTGGGAGGCCGAGGCGAGCGGATCATGAGGTCAAGAGATTGAGACCATCCTGGCCCACACGGTGAAACCCCATCTCAACTAAAAATACAAAAAAATTAGCCGGGCATGGTGGCGTGCGCCTGTAGTCCCAGCTCCTCGTGAGGCTGAGGCAGGAGAATTGCTTGAACCCGGGAGGCAGAGGTTGCAGTGAGCCGAGATCGCGCCTCTGCACTCCAGCCTGGGGCCTGGGGACCGAGCGAGACTATGTCTCAAAAGAAAAAAAAAAACATTGAAAGTCTGTGAGATCTGGATAGACACACCCCTGCTGCAGCCAAACCATTTGAGGGAGACTGTCTGCATATTCATATTAAAGGGTCACATTTTTAACAAGTTCCAAAAAAATCATGTGATTTTAGACCCAGGGCCAGAAAAATCCTGAGGGAAAAAATGCTTGTTCCATCTTCCTATGACAGAGGACTTTGTGTGCCAGAGGTTGGTAGCTCAATTTTCCCTGAGTTTACCCACAATTTTATCATCTTCTTCAAACTCTTAAATTGGCCACACCTGGATGAAGGAAGCAACTATTTCAGAATCATTTTGACTAAATATTTGGATTTTTTTGTCACTTGAGTTTTTTCCACATCTTCCTATTTGGGCCTTGAGCACCTCTGGATAGCAATGTGCTTTGAAAGAGAAGCCTCTTCCAAAAGACTGTGATGGTTTCACACTGAAGACTGAAGTTGCTCTGCCCTAGAACTTTGTTTTTACTGGGTTCTATTTTCTTATCATGATCAGTTACTAGTTCATATTTTCTGCTGAATTTTTTTAAAGGCACTGTTGATGAGATTGTGGCTTTTTCACAAAAAAAATACTGATTTGGCAAAAGTGTATTGAAATTAACAATACTTACATTTTTTAAGTACTGTTTTTAATTTTTAATACTTTTAATTTTTTATTTTTTAATACTTTCTCATTTTTAATACTTTTCAAATACAAGAGCTGACCATGGCATGATAGGTAAAAAAAGTAGGGGGTAGAATATGACAGGCACCATTTTTTAAATTTCGATAATTTCAAATTTTTTGTTTTTATCTAAACTACAAAAAGTTTTAATGAGTTATAAATTCAAAGGTCATTACAAAAAAAACTTGTAGCTAAATCACAATGTAATTTTTGGATTATGATCTCAAAAAAATTGATTAATTGGGTGGCATTTCTGTGACAAAAGGTTTTTCAGCTCTTTCATCTTTCAAACCAAACAAAAACATGATGTGGAATCATCTCATTTTACCAAACAGTGTCATGCTCCCTTGAATGCATGACTAGAAAAAACTAATTAAAAATGAAAAACTTGACCGGGCGTGGTGGCTCAAGCCTGTAATCTCAGCACTTTGGGAGGCCAAGGCGGGCAGATCACAAGGTCAAGAGATCAAGACCATCCTGGCCAACATGGTGAAACCCCATCTCTACTAAAAATACAAAAATTAGCCAGGCAGGGTGGCACGTGCCTGTGGTCCCAGGTACTCAGGGGGCTGAAGTGGAAGAATCACTTGAACCCAGAAGGCGGAGGTTGCAGTGAGCCGAGATTGCGCCACTGCACTCCAGCCTGGTGACAGAGCAATATTCCATCTCAAAAGAAAAAAAAAAACACTTTATCTCATTATTAGGTTTGTATAAAAGAAAAAGTTTCTTTATCTAGATAGATAGACTGCTAGATATTCCTAAGTGTGGCAGTTGTGCGACCCGCAGAGACCCTTCCCAAAGCAAATGAGAGCGAGGAGTTGTTAAGCCGAGTCCAGGTTTATTGGGGTTTGCGGGCAACTCGAGCGGGAGAGGGAAGAGCTGCACCCAGCAGCTGCCGGAGAGGGTTTTTATAGGGGCGGCGGCCTGTTTAGGCAAGGGGTTGTGAAGTGATTGGTGGCTGTTGGGCATGGGCGAAGGGGGAGTATTGTGGAGTGCAGGGATTGGCTTAGCTTTGGCGGGCTAAGGTGGGGAGTACAGGTGAGGTGTTATGGAGTGATTGGTGGAGGTTAAACAAAGAAGAAGGAAGAGCCATGTGGCAAGAGGGGATGGGTTCCGGAGGCGGTCCGCTGGATGTGGGTCCCGGGCATGGGGAATGGGCCCTTTCTACCTAACAGCAGTAACTTGAAATTGTATAACATGTCTCTCCAATATTCGTGATAGTTATGAAACTATTACAGAAGATCTGTCTGCATTCGTTTTATGAGAGCCTGGCCCCCTTCTTTGCTAAATATGAAAGTTATCACCCTACTTTGTATCCTTCTTCGTAGAAACATAATTCCATTAAATTACTATTATTCTTAAAGTATTATTTAAACTTGACTAATTGGGGTATAACATTTTGTTTAGTTGGTACTCTTGAACTTGTACTTTTGAAGACCAGACCTTAGATGCTATCTATGCACTTGGAAACAGAGCAGATAGATTGTTTAAACTGCATTTGGCACATGCTAAGTACTTTGGTGAGGGGACAAAAGCAGGCAAGCTCCAGTAAACATACATTGTTATTAACACGTAATACACCCAGCCTTGAAAGCTGTCAAAGATTTTTCCTGGAAAGATACCACTTTCCACAATTTTTTTTCTAGAGAACTGTAGCTATATGATATTAAATATTGAGAAGATTAGAATGTGTAAAGACACTTCTCAGCCAATCCATTTTTTCCTCTCTGAAAAAACAGCACTGTTGTTCCGCTCCTGAATTGACCTCTGACTCATTTTTGTCTTCAGCAGCTCAGCTTTACTCAGACTCCATGAAAAGCATTGAGTTCTGTGGCCGGGGGCGGGGAGTAGCGGGTGGAGGACATATCAGATCAACGTTCCAGCCTTGTGTGTCCGATCACTACCCTCGCTGCCCTCTGTAGACGCTTGTCGCCACCTGAGGTTACTTGGGCAAGGTTCTCTGTACTTCTAGTGTTCAGAGAGTGCTAGGCCTGCCGCATCTGCCAGAACACAGCTTCCAAGACTCCCCCATGCCATGAGAAAGGAAGGAGCTGAGAGCAATATAAAGAGGGAGATACTGAGATGCTTGGATCTTACTTATTTTGGTTGCTCAAGCACTTTGTCCCTCCATGTCCCTCCCTCAGACCCACCAGTCTAACTCCCTAACAAGGAAGTTGGTAAAATAAAATGAAAGCACATTATGTATAAATCATAATATGTTGGTGTGAAATAGAGTTTCCCCATTCTTGGTAAGGTTTAAAAATTTCTGCAGTACACACCCAATCAATGATAGGTTCTATGTACCATAAGTACTATTTTAAGAGCAAAAGCTAAGTTTAAAAAGAAATAAAGCAACACGTTTGGGGGGTATATTTGGCTTCAGAAAAAAATACTTGATGTTATTCTCTATTCAATATTAGAGCTGAACTGTGGGGGCTTTTAGATCTTTTTGCTCGTATTCTGTGATTCAGGGGGTACGTGGCAAAGGGAAACAGACAGAAATAGCACTGTGGGTATCCGCGAGCTGTGCTGGGAAGGTTCACAGTGATTCCATAATCAATCTCAGGTCTTTATTTTATGATGAATTTCAGGTCTTTATTCCCATAATAATGGTAGAGTATGTACAAAGTGACTACAGAATAACTTTATAACTCCGGATGGACCTACTTTCTTTCACATCTTAATACTTTCTTTTCTATGTTGCTGTATTCAGGTTTGATTTTCTGAGTAGATCACCTCTAGAAAGAATAAAATCAAGAATACTCTAAAACAGTGTGTTATACTAAATTTGGGGGGCTACAGAAGCGCTGGTAATATCACCATGTGAAGCAAAGCTGCAGTATCAATAGGCTCTCTCTCTATGTGTCTTTTAAAGTGCAGATGATCGTTGCAAACTGGTGTTCACAGACAGGTGGTTTTCGGAAGCAAGCTGTAATCCCAGCTACTCTGGAGGCTGAGGTAGCATAATCATTTTAACCTGAGAGGCAGAGGTTGCAGTGAGCCGAGATTGTGCCACTGTACACCAGCCTGGGTGACAGAGCAAGACTCCATCTCAAAAAGAAAGAGAGAGAGAGAGAGAGAGAGAGAGAGAGAGAGAGAGAGAGAAGAGAGAGAGAGAGAGAAAACAAAAGAAAGAAAGGCAAGAAAGAAAAAGAAAAAAAGAAAATCACGGTAAGGTGCAGTCCTTCCATTTGTTAGTCATCGCCTCACTACCTCACCAGCTCCAACCAGAGACCACATTTGTCTAGGCCAGGCATCCCCAAACTACGGCCCGCGGGCCACATGCGGCCCCCTGAGGCCATTTATCTGCCCCCCCACCCTGCTGCCGCACTTCAGGAAGGGGCACTTCTTTCATTGGTGGTCAGTCAGAGGAGCACAGTATGTGGCAGCCCTCCAACGGTCTGAGGG